GGGGAAGGAATAGTCTCAGTGGGGGAGGGGGAGGGGGGCCAATGAGTCCCCCCCACCTCCCCAGGTGCCCACCCCCCACCATCTAATGCCTGGGATTGACAGAATTTGCCAGGAGCCTGAGTTGGTTCTTCTTTGCTAGGGGCAGAGTGAAGTAAAAGGGGCATGAACTCTCAGTGGTCAGGGTCCAGGGATTGACACCCCCACCAACAACACCCCACTACTCCCAATTGCTAAAATGGTCTGAGTTTGCTGAGAGCCTGAGCTAGTTCCCTTCAGTTGAGCAGTCACATAAAGGTGCACGGTCTGTCAACAGGGGGGGGAAGAGGCAAGGGGTTGCACCCCTGCGGCCCTCCAGCACCCTCCCCACTACTTAACAGCTGGTATAGCCTCAGCTTGCCAAGAACCTAAACCAGCATCTCTTAGCTAAGGGTCAAGCCAAAGAAGGGAACAAGATTACAAGAAAGGCAAGGCCAATGGGCCCCCAGGCTCCACCCCGACAGCCTGAACCTGGCCAGAGCCTGAGCTGGTTCCTTGTGGACAGGAATGGAGTCAAAGCGGGGGGCAGGCATAAGTAAGGGGCAGGACCTGCAAAACCCAGAAGCAGGCCCTCCTGGTCACAGTGTAGATGCTACCCCCCACCCTCTTGGCTCTGCCTCCAGTCCTAAGATAGATACTAACCTGCTGCCCCATTGGCCCCACCCACCTTGAGCTCATCAGAGAGGTCGCTGTAGTCTATCTCAATGAGAGCCTCGCGTGCATACATGGACGATGTGCGCTGGGAGCTGCCCCCAGCCTCTTCCCCATGTGCCCCACCCTGCCAGTGGGAAAAGAGAAGGGGCAGGTGAGGGAGGGGGTAGAGCATTCCAGAGAAGCTCCTCTCCCAAGCTCAGTCCCCACCCCCCATAACAGCCCCTCCCCTTCTCTGAAATCCTAGGGCAGGCACCACTCCCTCCAAGGAGGTTCCCCCCACCCCACCCCATTCTATCTGTGAAGTTCTTCCCTCCTCCCCAAGGCTCTGCCCCCAGGCCAAATATCCATCCTTTTGTCCCCAAGGTTCTGCCCACTTCCTTGAGTCCACACCCCCAGGCCAAAACCCCACTTTATATCCTGTGACCCTGCCCCCTTTTGAGATCCCACCCACCAGCCCAGGCCCACTGCCTCTCCTTCCATCCCCAAGGCCCCACTGTTTTCCCTAAGCCCGTCCCCAGGCCCAGTCTCTCCTTCCATCCCTAACGCCACAGCCCCTTCCCCAAGGCCCTACTCCTGGCCCCACCTCTTCCTGGCTGATGTCATCCATGGTGCCCTTGGCTAGGGGCAGCTTGATGTCCTGCATCTTGCAGGCCTGCAGCAGGTTGTGGCGATCGCTGCGTTTCTGCTCCAACTTTGTCTCAATGGCTGTTACCTCCTTCTGCAAGTGTGTCATTTCCCTGTGCCCCCAGGGGGCAGGGCCAGAGATCAGGCCCTGCCCACAGCCCCAGCCCCCCCGCCCTGAA